TCAATAGGCATGGCATTTTCAAAGCATACTTTCATTTAAACACATTTTCTGGGAAAATATCAAGTATATAAATATATACTGAAAATCAAAAGCCCACTCACTGGTATATCGAATGGTCATAGCCTCTGAGTCGCCCTTGACTGCGCTCGTCCTTTGGATAGGTCTCACATATATGCGAAATAACTGAATAAACATTATTTAAAGCACATAGACAAAACTAGTTAATAACTTCTCATACATTGCTCAAATGGAATGTTTGAATATACCAACGTGATCTACACAACCCCACGAACATCCGCATATTTTTAGAAAAATTTTCCGACCACCCATGCGCCCCCACGCGCGGGTAACCCTGACGGAATCCTAACTGCCGTTAGGAATATTCCGTTAAAAAGCAACATAAACCGTTAAGTCTACCTGACGGTGTCAGAATATTCCGTCAACTTTGATGGAATATTCTATCTTCTTATCCGGTTAGCCTAGCTGGTCGCCGTCCGTAGGAAACTGGAAAATACAAAAACCTTCATATCTCGTCCAATTCTTAACCAAAATCAGTAAAACTTGCACCAATTTGAAGCTTAGGACAAGTAGAACACAACTATACCTATTTTGAGACCTAAAATCCATGAAAATTTGCCGAGAGGACCTTCGATAATCTGGCCAATCTTTAAATGCATCGATCTCGACTTCTCAACGTCCAAATCATGTCATTTTTCTTCTCCAAGCTTCGTGGAGAGGTCCCTAAGCTCCCTATAAGCTTGAAATCCTCTAAAAATCACGCATTTACTGCTGCATGAATAGTGCTCAAACCGGAGGTTATGGTTTCTCGGGTTTTTCGAAGCTTTCACGTCCAAAAATGGTATAGATGAGTTCGTGACAATGAGATGAAGATGATGATGGTGTCTACAAGCTCGATCGGTGAAGAAATGGGTTGGTTTGGAGATCATATGTACGATTGTACGGATATGAAGAAAATCCAAGAGGGAGGAGAGAGAGAGAGTACACGGGAGAGAGAGAGAGTGGGAGAGAGAGAGTGTAGTCTTAGTTTGGGCTACCAATCACAACAAACCGAAGCTTACTTCCCATAGGGTCCCCAAACTTAGGAGAAATTCCTATTAGTTAATATCCTTAGCCCAATACATACACACCACCACCAAACGTTAAGGGCAATTTCGTCTTTTCACATCTCCGAGAAAAATATTTCAGGACGGGCTATCATAGTTAAATTATTCCTCCACTTTTATATCAATTTTAATTTTTGTTGTTTTTTTGTCAATATTTTGATTATGGGAGTTTTTTTTTTTTTTTTTGAGTATTAAGACATATAAATATAATGCATCGTTTGGTATCTAGAGTTAAATTGATTTGGATTCGACGACTCATACTTTTGGCAAAATAATTTATAAAATTGACACGAAAATTTATTTTAAATTGTGAAATGTCAAAGAGTTTATAGAGAATCCTATTTTAACTGAGTTTTCTTAGCATTTCTCATCCATCTTTTACTTTCAACTAGAATTTAAAAGTTGATATTAATTAATTTCTTCATTCAAGTCCATTTAGTCTAGTAAGTAGGGTATTATTCTTCAACCCACTGCGTTCCATGTTCAACCTTCTTCATTCCCTGATATAAATTAAAATAGTCATATCGCTTTGTACTAAAAAAATTATCAAATCCAATCAAATCCAATCGAATCCTAAACATCAATGAGTTTTGGAGAAGTGTTAAGAGTTTGGATATTATAATTTTGGATTGTGACTATAAGGGCATGGTGCATGTTTATTTATAAGGAATGGAGTGGAAATGAATAAGGATCATTCCTACTCAAGAACTAATTAACATTTAAATGAATGAAAAGTAAGTGGGTCCTATAGATTTTGAGTATGACATACCTGAAAATCTTCCGTGTTCAACTCTCCTCATCCCTAATATAAATTAAAGTAGTCATATCATTTGTAATTAAAAAAAAAAATGATCGAATTCAATCAAATTCTAAACATCAAACGAATCTGAAGAAGTGTTAGGAGTTCGGATATATTATAATTTTGGATTGTGACTCTAAGGGCATGCGTGCATGTTTAATGACAAGGAATGGATTGGGAATGAACAAGTATCATTCTTACTCATAAACCAATTAACATTTAAGTGAATTAAAAAGAAAGTGGGTCGTATAGATTTTGGGTATGACATATCTGAATTGAAGACATCTCGTTCAAATTGGAGAGTTGTTTATCTCATAATCATTTATTCTCATCCCCATACAATGAACGTAATCAATAATCATACCCTAAATAAATGCACTTTTCTCGTTTGTTATATTGAAGAGTTTCGAATTTTAAACGTAATATAGTCTCAACCAACCTCACTAGTGGACTAGCTCGAGTGGCTTATTAATGGTTTGCTCTTTGGTTGATGGTTTTTCATATTTTCTTTGGTAGAATAGTTAAGTATAATGATGCAGTAATATGAAGGGAAAATTAGAATCTCCTACAATTTTTCTATATCATTTAGATTAAACATTTGTGCTTTTTTAACATTTGATTAAAGTGCTTTTACCAATAGCCACCTCTATTTTTTAAAATTAAAATAATTTTTGAATTTATCATTTTATCTGCAGGATGCACTTTTCCTTATTTAGTGGAGATATTAGTAATTAAACTATATTTTTTCTTCTTCCAAATATGTTTTTTCGATCACAATATATTTTTTTTGTTATGCAAACATTTAATATTATTTCTTTTTCCAAATGGTTTTTCTTTTTCAAATAGTTGGTGATCAACATAAAAGCCCTGTGTAATTTTTTCAATTTTTTTTTGTGAAATTATATTTTTTTTGCTGTTTTTTTAAGTATAGTTGTTGACGAATTATTATTAGGTACAATATATTACGCATATATTATTTGCGGGTACATTCGAATTTACAAAAATCATTAATTGATACATTTATTTGCAATTTAGGTACGTTTGATTTGATACATATTGTTAATATGAGTACATTATTTTTATTTTGTACACATTGTGTATTGGTATATTTATATTATTCTCAATCCTATTTTATCTTAACGTACTAAAAGAAAAACTCATTTCGATACGTTTGATTTTGGGGGATTTAAAAATATTTTAAACTATTTTGGAAAGAAAATATTTTCAATCGTAGATAATTATTGCTAAATTGTAGCATTATTGTGAAAATAAATTGAATCTAGCCAACTTTTTTTTACAATTATCTCTAATAGAGAAGAATGTAATCAAAATGCTAGATTATAGGAAATTTGTTACAATATAATGTGCATATAGCACCAAAATTATGACAAAAAAAAGTTTAATCAAATCACTAAAAGGCATGAATGTTTGATCTAAACAATTTAAAACTGAGTCGCCTATATCAAAAGATCCCTATTAAAAAAGATAAGAAAATTCAAATCACCTTCCTCGTTGTGAATAATTGTGACTCATGTTCCTTGTTCATCTTTTCCCCTCCCTCTTTCTCTTTCTCTTTCTCTATAAAAGAAAAGTGTCGGATATTTGAAAAAAGCAGCTCAAAAAATAGACTTAGGGTATTTCTTAATCTTAATTATTTTCTTAAGTTGGCCCATAAACTTGGTCCACCCCACGTGTCTTACGTTGGATGATATTGCCTGCTAAGACCATCTTCAAAGAAGATGTCAAATTTTAAATCTAAAATTTAAATTTAAAAACTTACATGACACTTTGACATCTTTTAAACTTTTGCTCTCCAACTGATATGTCAAATTTTAAACATAAAATAATAATTCATATGTATTTTCTTTGCACTGGGAATGAAAAGAAACAAAAGGATAATGCTTTAAACCAATAAAAAAATTAATAAAAAGTATTTAATAATTAATTAAAAAAATGTGAAGGTGCGGTCAAATTTGGCAGCAAAGGGGAGAGATGTCAATTCATGTCATGCCACATCAGATTTGGCTTCTCAGTTGAAAAACATTAATGCTGTCTTTTGTTACCGTTATTGCTGATTTGAACATTTTGACATCTCCTTTAAAGATGCTTCAAACCGACTTCTAAGTGAGATTAATTAAAATTTTATAGACTAATCAGCTCATATTTTATGATATTTATGCATTATCAAAAACAGCAGAAGTCTAGAGATGATCGGAAGAAAAAACTGTCTCGATGCTTACTTTTGGTTCCTCGATAATTCTTCTAGAACCAGGACACGCACGTCTCATGAACACTGACGATGCTGAGACATTAACGTGAGGCTTTACGGTTTGATCGCAGAAGAGGTAAAAGGTCAAATGGGTGTTCAAATTTGACTCATCAGAAGCGGATACGATGAAACCATCAAATCGTCAAGTCCTTTTTTCTCATCTTTTGCTTTGGCAACTTTGACTGTCAACTCAACAGTGGAACAAAATAATCAAAATGACTAAAATCAAACCTAATTTTTAGTCAAGCCAACAAAAACAACCTATAACGTAAAACGAAAAGTCAATGCTATGCAAACAATGAGGAGAATAAACAAATCGATAAGGTTAGGGGTGGAATTCTGACTGAAATTTTCATTTCCGCCGTTGAATTTTCGATTATGATTCTTGAATCTGAACATTTTCAAAAAGATCGGATGGAAATTGATATTGTATATAGAGGTCTCAAGAATTTTGAGTTTCCAAACTTATTTCGAAGTACTAACAAAGAACAATAACTTGTATATATAAAAAAGTTCAAGAATATTCACAAACTCGTATCTAATTCCAAAAATTTTGAGTAATCCGAAAATCCCGAATTGAAATTTTTTTATTTGATTCAAAACTTTTGAAATGAAAAATTCCAATCGAATCCGCTCGAAAAACATTCGTACTTGGGCGTTTGGACCCAAGAAAGAAAAACAAATCAATAGGGCAGGGGAAGCTTTGAATCCATAGGAAATGGGCCTACACCTAAGCCCACATTCTAATCTAACCCGACCATTTAATAACCTGGCCCAGGTTTAGAACACCCGACCCGTTTTTCTTTCCCTGCGAAGACACTCGCCCCGAATCCCTTCTCTCGCTTGCTCTCTCTCTCTCTCTCTCTCTGTAATCTCAATGCCGCAGTCCGATATGTGAAACCAGAAAAAAAAAGATGGCGTTTTGGAGTAGAATCGGGCAGTCGAAGCTGCGGCAATTGTCCTACCAGTCCAAGACTATCCCTTACGCCTCTTTGATCAACCCGACTGCTACACATTCGAAAGCATGCGTCTCAGAAATCCCACATTTGATCCCTCACGGTAGACCAACGGATTTCGGCAGTAAAGTCAGGTTCTTTGCTGCTCCCGTCCAGGTAATTAACTCCGCATGGCCATCTGATCATCTGGGTAATCTAAATTTTTATCCAATTCTGTGGGGTTTGAATGTTTTATATGTTTATTGTAATTTGTGGGTAATTTGGAAAATATGATGATATTGAGAAATCCGTAGTAAGTCATATTTGATTAAACTGGGATGACTTTGCACTTTATTTGTAGATAGATATTGGGAACGTGTTTTTTTTTTTCCTTTCCTTTTTCTGGGTTTAGTTTTCTGAGGTGAGCAGTTTAGGTAGAATGTTACATTTGGTATTGAACTTTCCATCTATGGGCGTCGAAGGTTGAGGTTTACCACTGGACCGGAGTGCTGAGTGGTTATTTTGTTTTTTGTGTTTTGTGTTTTGAGGTGAGCAGTTTAGGTGGCATATTACATTTGGCTTTTATGTTTGGCGGTGACTTGTGAGATATGTGGGTATTCATGATTTTGGTAATGTTGAATGATGTGTGGTTTTAATTCATATATTGTTCAGTTTCAAACAAATACAAAGAAGGTAGAGCAGAGCACGAGCGGTCCGCGATTGAATGAGAAGATTACTGCTGAGTTCGTTAGGCTTGTGTTGGATGAAGGTACTGTCTTTTTATAAGTGATTAAAGATTTATGAGTTTATGTATATCAACTTTGTTTTGTGTGTTCACTTTGAAATTAATATTAGGACGTAATGGTACAAACACTATATTGGGTTTTTGAGAAAATGATGGTAACAGTGTAAAAACGTTGTATTTTGGATGCAAATGCTGTCTTGTTAAGGAACTGATAGGAGGAAGCAAATGGCATTCAGGCCAAGGGGTGTCTTGCTGAAATTTTGGGTTGATACTTATAGGGTGTATGAATTTACTTGTGAAGAAAAGGAAAGAAGGTAAGAGAATGAAATGGTTCATCAAACAGTTTCTGACTGTTGATGGCGGAGAACTGAGAAGCAAAAACTAACAGTTTTTATTGGAAATCATCTTCCAGTGAATGACAGCCTGTCTTGTGAATTGGCGGTTCTAAACTAAATACTCAAAGGGAGTGAATTGAGTATTGAGAGTTATGAGAGTGTCAATAGGAGAAGGGAATGGAAGAGTTCTCTCTGTATTAAAAGAGGGTGGTTTCAATGAAATTATGAGCTGGAGGTAGAGTAGGAGTGTAGTGGACCTCTATCATATGCCATTCTAATTTATTTATATATGCAGAGCATTTTATTGTCTCAAGGCGTGAAGCTCTGGAACGGGCAAGGACACTCGACCTTGATTTAGTTGAGGTAATTTTTTTAATCATGTAATGATGCCTAACTTTCTCCAAATCAATTATCTTTTCTTGTTTCTTATTACAATACAAGACTGAGAGGGGTTTTTCATGTTACTTTCTCTGTCATTTGAGCTATGATATTTAATTCTTTGGTTAACTTAAAACACATTTTTATTTAGTTGCAGATTTTGTTTGATCTACTCTGACAATGAATTAGTTCTCTTATTGATTAGTGATTACCAATAACTTTTGTTGTATTTTGCACAGGTTGAAGCCAGGGCTGATCCTCCTGTTTGTAAAATCATGGATTTCCACAAAGAGAAGTACAAAAAGGAATTAAGGGAGAAAAAGAAGCTTAAAATTAAGGTAGGTTATGGTGTATATTTATGCCGTGTCCTTTGATGTTAAAGTGAAAAAGTAAATGATAAGATCTCTCTCTCTCTCTCTCTCTCTCTCTCCCTCTCTCCCCCCCCCTCTAACTTCAGAATCAATCGAAACCTTTTTGTCTGGGTATGGATTTGGGATGGAAGTGTTTTTGAAAACATTGTGGACTTCATTGCTTCCCTAATTTTATGCTTTTTGTGCTCAAGTGTTTTGGGTTGGGAGAGGGGAAACACACCCCATATTCTCAACGATGTAAAAATTTGCACCACTGATCTTTTAATGGCCACGATGATGCTAAAAACAGGTAACAGGTATGGTAACATTAATATAGTGATACCTCCATTCATTACACTCTGTAGAGTCAAATGAGCATTATTCCTCAGATCTACTAGATGTCAAATTGTCCATAGTGGACTGTAGTTTTAAGTTAATTCTATTGAAAACCCATATTAGTAATTCCAGGGCGGTCCACTTCTTTCTCCCCCCTGTTTTTGTTTTTGGTTTTTTGCAGCCTTTCCTATGATGTCGTGCTAGAGTTTTTATTTTGGTGATGTGCTTATAGTGTTTTAATAAGATTTGTAATCTATGCAGTCTGACAAGACTTTGCGAGCAGATTCTAAGGAAGTGAAGTTTTCTCCAAAAACTGTAAGTTATTTTTTCAAGTGCTCTGTGTTTCCTTCCACCATCATTTATACATCTTTGAGCAAATGTCACTTTTTCAGATTAACAGAAAATATGTTGCTTCTGTACGGGTTGCTTGGAGATAACAGGAAAATTGAACTCAAAATAAAGAATTTTTATCATAGTATCTTTTTTAATCTTATAATTAGATTTAAACTAAGAGATAAAAATTTGTCTTTATAATACTTTATATGTCTTGGTGTTTGTTGCTATACTGGGATATATAGTATACATTGGGTAAGCAAGTCACCTCGCTGGCTGGACCATTTGTGTTTTTATTTTCATCTCTTGATGAGTATGGTGATTACATTTTGAGTATCAATGTAGCGATGTTATGATTTGAAACACATTGCGAGTTCTGATGTTACAAAATACGTACTGCTACTGATTTCAGGAAGCCAAGGACCTAAAGATGAAAGCTGATATGGTGAAGAGATTTATGGAGAAAGGTTACCGGGTGAAGGTACTTATTCCTTTTCCTATCCTTGTAAACACTACAAACGCCTTAAGTTCCCTTTTGCATAAGAAAAATCCTATTTGACAATTCTAATAAAATATCTCAAAGCCTTCATATGATCACCAAAAAATAATCAAGATGACAGACCATTTACACAATCTCCGAAACATTGCATCACTTCAAAGTTCAAATCCAAATAATTATATGTCACAACTTTCTGTAACTTAACCTGAAATTGCAATCTTCTTAAGATTTTGTCTGACTTGTCTGGACTTGTCGGCGAACACCTGTGATCTGTTAGATTTATGTAATTAAAACTGAAATTGCATAATTTTCTCAATGCTCCAGTTCAAACGAAATCTCTGAGTTCAGGGTTATAAAGAAAAACAATGTCATGATGATTCTGTATGCACCACTCTCTTTAATGGAGGAGTTCAAGTGAGACTTTGGCAATGGGGGAGATAAATATTCCAATGTTTTTCTGGATTTCATGTTTGCTATGGTAGTTATAGCCTATTGGCTTTTATTCATGTTTTCCTCAAAAAATGCGTTGTGGGAATTGATAACTACAGAGTTTGTTTATTTACAAATGACTCTTAAAATAGTGAACTTGAATGCAGGAGGGGGTTTATTTGGTTTAAAATCTAGATATTTTTACACAACGAGCTTTTGAAAGAGTTTATAGGAACTTTGATAAAAATTTGGCCCTTTTAAAAAATGCCAAAAGTTGCATCATAAGTCAACCTAGAAGTTGACCCAAAAAAAAAAAAAAAAAAAAAGCCGACCTAGAACATAGTACTGTTATTTGTTAATTTCTTGATACATCGATTTCCCTATATTTTGCTTATTCCATTAAAAGACAGATGCATTTCTCTACTTATTTTATTTATTACTGCAACTTGTTCATATGTATGCTTGTCTAAGCGAACACCTTGTAGAATCATGGGATACATTGTGTTGTTTTTGCTAAATATGTCTGTTGCATGGATCTATCACAGCATCCTTCAGTTAAAGTTACAAGAATTAACTTATATTTACCTGATTGTGTTGTATGGATCTGAAACAGTGTACTGCCTCGGATGCTGAGGATAAGGACTTAGGAGAATTGTTTTCTCGTCTCACTGTGTTGGTATTGCCAGATGCTCTTTTGTCATTGTTTTGTATTCATTACTGTTTGTCTTCCTTTTCTCCCACTCTGAGTTAGACGACCATTTGCAGATAGAAGATGTAGCTCTCATCGAATGTGAGCCAACGCTAGGAAAAGGAAAAGAGGCATTTATAATTGTCAGGCATGTGAAGTTTGGCCCATCAAAGAAGGGCGGTGCAAAAAAAACTGTTGAAAAAACTAGCCCTGAGGCTCAAAAGAAGGGTAGTGAGGATGCAAGTGGCGTTACCTCACTGGTTCATAATCCGACTGTGCCACAAAGAGCCTCCTCTCAGTCAGATATTAGTGATCCAGACAAGTTGCATGTCACACCTACAAGAGCGTGCACAGCTCCACTGCCCTCGCGAGAATCCTTTTATGGGACTCAAAATAGGCACGGAAATAATGAGTCGAGGAATCCTTATTTGCCAACAAGAGGAATGGATAATAGGGGGGCGGGAATGAGAGAACCCCACACTTCATATCAAAGAACAGGAACACCAACTGACTTGCCCTTCTCACCAACAAGAGGAATGGATAATAGGGGACTGGGAATGAGAGAGCCCCATACTCCATATCAAAGAACAGGAACCCCGACGCCACCCTTCTCACCAGTGGGAGAACCCAGGCAAGCTCAGACGAATGCACCTGTATTTAGAAACTCGAATCCTCCTCCTAATGATATCCCCAAGCAAGAACCCTCAAGTCCTAGCGCTCCCCGTACTCCAGGAATTGGTTTCGGGATATTTAGCAATCCGAAACGTGATGCTCCTGCTAGACAAGGTGTATCAGAAAGGATCCCATCAGATTCAAACTCGCCTGGTTCAAGACCTGATAGCAGCCAAAGACCAGGCACCAGCACAAGCACGGATAAGGTTGGACAACGAGGATTCGGGATCTTCAGTAGAGAGCTCAAGTGAGAGCCCAAACCGGATACCTAAGACAAACTAGGATGCAGGCATAATATTTAAATGTGATGAAGTGATGATTATTTCAGGAATATATTATTACTGAATGGTGGTAAAAATAATTAGTCATTGTATGAACCCATTATTTTGAGATGACCAGAGAATTGTCTTCCCCTTCTAAATTCAGTTTTGTCAAGCACTTGCACACGTATTTGATAAAACATTTTCACCATTCCCGGCTACTGTTGAAGTCGACTGAATCAAATAAGCTTTTCGGTTGGACCGAAAGTGGTCGGTGATTGGGGTTTTTTAGTATGCTCCAAAGTATGTTGTAGTAAGGGTTTGAGCCGTTAGATTCTTGGTTAAAGATTGAACGCTAAAATTTGATGACCCAAAATTATGTTGAGAATACATTATAGCAGAGTAAAACTTTTGTAGCCATAAGATGAAATTAACTATAAATGAGAGGTTTTAGGTTCGATTATCGCCAAAGACGAATTTGAACCATATTATTGTGAGGATTATTCCACTCTTCCGCCTCTAAGGGTAAATAACATCGTTTGTTAAAAAAAAAAAATTCTGTTAATAAATCAAAGAAAAACAAAGGGACATAATTGGAAATGGGGCCCTTATGCTAAAGTGGATCCAAACCCATATGTTATTCAAGGGCTCCGAACCCGGTGAAAACAAAGCAACCAAATGACACCGGGTCCCCAAGTCGTATATATAGCACGTGGCGCCCAAATTGTCGTCCTTTTCCAGTGCACACACAGTAGCCCTAGCGCGAGCGCGAGAGACACACCCTCTCAAATTCAAGCTCGGACCATATCCTCTCCGCTCTCAATTCAAACCCACACAGAGTCTCAGTCAGCTCTTCCTTCGTCTGCGTCTGCGTCTCTGCAACTGCAATTCTTCTTCGTCCTCCTCCTTCTCCTTCTTCTTGCCGTTTCTTCTGCTTGTAGCTCCACTGGAGGTACAGATTTCGAGCTCGCCGTAAAACCCTAGCACCATGTTTGTTTATTAATGAATTTAGGGTACGGGTTTGGGAGATGGTATAAGGGAAGCGTGGACTGTTGTAGGTTTTGCTGCGGTTTTGGAACTGATGAAACTCAAACGCCAGATGATTTAGGCTGGAATTACGAATTAGGGCACGGTTTAGTTGCTTTAGTTTTGTTTAACTCTGCTTTTAGGGTTTTGGGATTGGTAATTCGTTTAAAATGGGGTAAAATTGAAGGTTTTGGTTACTTCAATTGTTAGAGGTGTTACAAATCTGGAAATTTGAGAAACTATAGTTTCATGAGAACTCAGTTTATTGGAGAATTATGTTTTGAAAATTTGGTTCTATATTGGGTTCATTGGGTTTGTGCAAAATATAGAAACTATAGAGTTTAAAATGTATAAATTTGGTTACTTTCGGATAACTGCAGGCTTACTGGTCTAGTGCTTAGAAACTAATTGTTTTGTTCATTGATTTTTTCCGAATTGTTGCAGATATCGCCAGAACTGAGGTTTACCCGTGAGGTTATTCGTGCTACGTTGTCTGGTTAGAAGAAAGGTCTGATGGATTTTGACGAGTATGATTATTTAGAGAAAACAGTTGAAAATCCTGAACCACCGAAATCAAAGGAACCTGCAAATGGTGGTGAGGAAACATTGAAATCTGGAGAGAAAGGTCGCAGCCGAAGTTCAAAGCACAAGGGTGACGAGAAAGGTCACGATGAGGAACGTCACTCAAAGCGCTCAAAATCTGGAGACGAGTCACGTGAACGTGATAATGATCGACACAGAGAGAGGGGATCTTCTCGTCACCGCTCACAGTCAAGAGACAGAGAAAAGGATCGCCACAGAAGTAGCCGGGATCATAGAGGTAGGGAAGACAGAGAAAGGGAGGAAAGAAATGGTAAGGAGAGAGATAGGGACAGAGACAAAGAGCGGGATCCTGGTCGTGATAGAGACAGGAGAGAACGTGACCGCGAGGGTGACAGGGACCGGGAGAAGGATAAAGAGCGGTCACGTCGAAGCAGGAGCCATTCAGAAAGGCATCGAAGTGATCGGGATGAAAGAGAAAGGAGCCGGGAGGTGGAGCATAAAGAAAGAGACAAGGAGAAGGATTTGAGGGAGCGGGAAAAAGAAAATAGGTATTCTTTCGATTCATATAGTTTAGCCGTTAAATTCTTTGTTAGGCTATATAGTTTATTTATGGATAACCACCATCCTTTGTAGCACAGTGGAGATTACTGATGGAAAGTCATTGCATGAGCTTATTACTATTAGTGCATATTAACCGCATAAGTGAACCTTAAATTATTTGCAGTTTAACATAATTTAGATACTGAACTCCATTTTATAGAAAGTTCATATGCTACTTGGGTGAAGACGTATCAACTTAGGCATCTTTGACTTGTTTTTCTACCCTCTAAACTTGGATTGGATTGCACTAATTAAACTTGAGGAAATGTTATTGTTTCTCATAATAACGTGCCTTATTTTGGAAGTGGATGCATGTACCTATTTATAAAATGTTGGGTGGAGCTCTTCTCCTGTTCCCAGTTGATTTAGACAATAGTTCTTATGAGACACCATCGCAGCCCTTTTTTTAGATATGCATTTCAAGGGGATTGCTTTTGGAATAATGCTAGTGCCTTTCTATTTTATGAAATCAGGGATCTAAAGGATGTTAGTTTTACCAGTTCAGGAGTGTATTATGCTTTTAATTGAGGATCAAAAGAATATAACATACTTCAAAGAATAATGCACCTCTAAGTATGGTTGATGTTAAATTTTGGACCTCTGAAATGTCTTGGAACAATGTGAGCAGCCACTGTTCCCAATTTATTGAAATTATGATTCATGGACCAAGCACTCTTCAAAAAGTTATGGTGGAAGAACAATTTGTGTAAATCTGTTATCGAGGCCGAAGACATTTACTGAGAATCCTTAGTCAGAATTTTGTTGGTGCAATTTTTGTTACTAGTGCCTACCAAACCTTTTTGTGGCGTCAACATCTTCTAGTTTTGCTCTTTTTATTTTTCGTCATTTGTATGTATGCATATTTGTATGCAACAAGTTCAATGGGCTGTTTTCCATGAGTGACATTGTTGTGGATTACATAGGTGTTGGACCTGTGACAGGCATCTGTATTTTCCTCCACCCCTTTCTCTCACTTGTACGTGCCATTTATAATGGCAGCATTTTTGGTTGTTTGGGTAATGTAGTTGTGTTGCTCGGTGCACTTAAGTATCAATATGACAATTTTGGGAAAGGGCTGATGGTTAGGATGGTTGTGTTTGTGTATTATATGCTATATTTGCTCTGTGGTGTCCCAATGTCATCACAAACCCATGAATTAGGATTAGGGTTTCAGGCTAAACTGATCCAAATTGCTAATACAATTTTCTAGATTGAAGTTCATTTAAGTTTTTTGTTTTTGATGTTTCTGAAACTGGAGAGCTGGTGAGCTGCTTTGCATTTATAGTGTTGGTAAGAACCTTGGGGAGAAATTTATCCGCCAAAAAGAGAATCCTGTTCATTATATTAACATTTTAAGTTAATGGAGACTCTGTCTGCAGAAAAAAAAATTGCATATGTCCAGCTACGTTTTGGTAACTAACTTTCTTTCTTTTTGCGATGTGGTCAACTCACTTGACAGCAGTGTTTCAAAAAACTAGTTTTTCTGGGGTGGGGCTATGAAGAAAACGCCTCTGCCCAGCAGGAGTGGACTATAGACTAGCCTAAATGCCTAAGCTAGCGCCTAGGCGACCTGGGCCTTCGAATTTTTTTTTTTGTAAAAAACCCAAACCCAAAACAAGCAGGATTTTTATAAAATTCATGCTAATTTAATGTTTCCAACTTAGTTTCTATTAGTTTATTATGACTTTATGGTGTGAATTTGAGAAATAATAATAATGGTCAAATATTTGATTGCTTGACATCCATGCTTGATTGTTTTACAAATTATTATATTTTATAATTACATATTAAGTACTATAATAATTTTAGGTACTGTGAGGCTATCGCCTAGGCGAGGGTATTCATGAAACGCCTTGGCTCGCCTTCGACTTTTAAAAATTGCTTAACAGTGAACCAGTTGTGTACTTATTTGTAGTCTCTGATTGCTCAACAGTTTGATAAGTTGCTTGCCTTTTGTTTTTATTCAGCCTAGTTTCACATGGGTTCTGTGCTGGATGTGGAACTGTATCCATCTTGAACATATAGTCACCTTTTCTGTGCCATAGATTGTTATTTCTTTCCTCCCAAGTGTTTTCCAGCTTGGATAAGTGGGTTCATGCTATTGTATAAATGAATATTCTCAGTTAGTCATACTTAGCTTCATAAGTTACTTGTATTTAACACCATTAGAAATTCTGAATATTGAACACTAGATTCTGGGAACTCGCAGATATGCTAGAGCAATCATCAGATGGTCTTTCTGGCAATTGGGCCAGGCACAGCTCAGGTCATGGGTCTTAAATGTTTCTTCTAAACTTTGTGGACTCTATTTAGAAGCTTGCAAAGCAAGATTGAGGGTTCAATGTTCGAGAATTTGACCACGGTGGTGATGTCATGTAATGCTTTTCGTTATCGTCACCTCTGAACTCCGTTGCTTAATTATATTTATTCTGTTGCAGAAATGCTGGTGGGGGGAGAGATGGGCTTTGCTTAGAGAAGCACCTCATCTTCTGATTCTTGTGGGAAATTCAGTTTACAGTGGTTACTATTGGCTGTTATTTTCTTAGTGTATATATGTACTGTTATTTTCACGTGTTTGATTGCTTGCCTTTAGGGTTAGGCTGACCTTTGCGACCTTTGGAAGATATTTTTCTTCTTCTTTTGTGATCATTGGTGCTGGAGAGGACTTTTGTGACCTTTTTGCAAGCTTAGATACCTGCTATTATTTTACCCAATGTGTCTGTGTATATGTACAAAAATTTATACTCACATACAAGCTTTTATTCCCTGATATTAGAAATTTATGCAGATTGCTCATCTTACAGGTCTCACTTTGGAAATTGGTATTTTTCAGGCTCTTTATGAGAGTCACGGTTAAAAAAATTGCGTCATTTTAAAGTGACGTTTGGGTGTGACTGCAAGTAGATATAGTATGTGTTTTCAGTTTATAGGGTTATCACTTTGCTTTGTGTGTTTGTGATTCTTTTTCTGGGACAAGTGCTTCTAACAGGTTCCAAATAATTGCAACTAAGTCCTTTGGTACCGCCATCCATACAACTTGATGGTGCTGTTTCATTTAACATTATATTGTGCATAGAAGGTACCAATCTGTTAATCCATTTTTTGAAGTTGGATTGCATGCATTACCTTCTTAGTAATTAGCGTCAATATTCTAATTTCACTCAATTGACATGTTGTACTCCAGGTTGGTTTTTATTATATATTGATAACAGAATCCTTTCTATGTATCATTCAGGTTGTTTTCTTTACCAAATTAAGCGATTTTATTTTGATCAATTTCAGGATCCGAGGATGCTTTATGTTTGATCTTTACATGTTCTTCCTGGACGTATTTTCCAGAGACATTAATGTTTTGTCAATAACAATACAATTGTTTGTCAATTTCTCATTTTTGTGTTGCAGAAGACATAAAGACAAAAAGGAAGAAGGGACAGAACCTGAGGCTGATCCTGAAAGAGATCAGAGGACAGTATTTGCGTATCAGGTATAGCAAATACGTTGGTATATGCATTCTGTTGTGTTATGGTAAAAGTTCTATCTTCCAGATTCTTATGTCTTAACAACAACTTTTGGTGAACAAATTTGACAGATTTGTCTGAAGGCAGATGAAAGAGATGTATATGAGTTCTTCTCAAGGGCTGGGAAGGTTTGTACATTTCACATTTATCCATATCATGTTCATTTAACAAATCATAGACGGTAAAGATTCTACACCTTTTAGCTAAAGGGACTTCTTGGTTTGAATGCATTATATTTTGTACCTTATATTAATTATGTAATTGCAATATTTGTAACAAAAACAGCTTAGCATCTAACATATAAACATACATGCTAGAAAGATGTACTGAGGAACTGTATCTTTTACCATATTCTAGACAGTTTAAATTTGCTGTTGATTCAGTCCTTGCTTTAACTAAACTGATAACCTGGAAACCCATAATGATTTGATATTCTAATTAAGCGTTTCTGTGGCTGTAGTTGTAAGTGTATTTCTGTCACTGTTTATATAATAGCTCTGATTTGTGTTTCAGGTCCGCGATGTACGTCTTATTATGGACCGCAATTCAAGACGTTCAAAGGGAGTTGGGTAGGTTTTTGTCTATCTTGGTGGCAAAAGCTGTGGTCATTAAGAGAAATTGAGTTAAATTATAGGGTTTAAGATGGTGTGAAAGTTTAAAGTCATTTGGTTTTGTTGACAAGAAGCTATGGATGCATTTATGTGCAAATAAGACTATCCTGTTCAAAGTCGATTGATCACTGTTGGAATTTGGTTTTGGAATGGCTGCCAGTTCTTCCTTCTCAAGGGGCTTACATTCCTTATTTACATTTTATTGTACAGTACGTGGCTTCATTAGATCATACACAATGTTAGAATTTTGCACCATCATCATGGGAAATTTACAATGATACAGATCTGCTTTGTCTAAATGCAATGCATATAGTGTAGTTATTCCAGCTGGTCAAATGATCATAAAAAGGACATTTTTCTCTCCTCTTATGTAAACTATGTTTGGAACTTGCAGTAAAATCTAGCTAACATGTATCTGTATGGGCAGTTAGGTTTAAATCATTCAAGAATCTAATGTTGTCTAGTTTGCAGGTATATTGAGTTTTATGATGCGATGTCAGTACCTATGGCGATCGCACTCTCTGGTCAGCCTCTTCTTGGTCAACCAGTGATGGTGAAGCCATCAGAGGCTGAGAAGAATCTAGTTCAGTCAACAACATCTGTTGTCACTGGACCAGGTGGGATGATAGGCCCATATTCTGGTGGAGCTAGAAGGCTGTATGTTGGAAATCTCCATAGCAATATAAAAGAAGATGATCTCCGCCAGGTGAGTACTTTTGTGACTTGATTCTCATGTTGGAGTCTCATTATGTTACATAATCGAGCTTGCTCTTGGTGATAATTTTTTTGAGCACTTTTGTTCACAGTTCTTTTTTTTTTTTTTTTGGAAGTATTGCTGTTTTTTGCAGTTTGGCTCGCTTGATTATTTGAACCTTTAATATTTGATATGTATACAGGTTTTTGGAGCATTTGGTCCTGTAGAACTGGTTCAGTTGCCTCTTGATGAAACTAATAACTGCAAAGGTTTTGGATTTGTGCAGGTCTGTTTTACTAGAACTTGCATCTTAACCAACTGTGGATATAAAATAAGCATATCTGTCTGTATGGCGGTTCATTATAGCTTCAGTTGGAGATTAGAATTGGCTTTAAAATCCCACCCCATCCCCACCCAAAAAAAAAAAAGTCTATTTGCACCCCCCCCCTCTCTCTCTCTCCCTTTCTCTTTTATTTATTGCAGCATATCACACCAATTCCTTTCCAGTTGTCCTTATCAGATGCTTTATGTGCAAGTTTATTGGATAAATCAAATTCATTGAATCAGTTACCTGCATGCAGTTTGCACGTCTTGAAGATGCTAGAAATTCTCTGAGTTTGAATGGACAATTGGAGATTGCAGGTCGAGTAATTAAGGTAATGGCACTTTATCATATTGTTATTGTACTTCTTTCTCCAAAAGATATGCTTGCGTTGTGTACTCTTTCCAATTTCATTAATTAGGCCGTGTGGTAGTTTGATGCTTATAGTGGCATGAGTGGTGCTTGGTATGTTTGTTCATCTCAGCTGGTCAATTAGTGATGCTTATACTATGCGATAGCGTATTTGCTCAGGTTTTCTTAATATGCACATTGAGTAGCACATAAATGATGTGGTATGTTCACATTAATGGTGCACGTAATTATTTAGATAACTACCAGCACTAATTGATGATACCATTAGTATTGTGACTATTGTCTTAAATTAGTGCAAAAGCCTTTTTGCTTTTGTGATTCAAAATATTTGAATGTTTTGTGGTGATGTGTCAGTTAACTGCTATCATTTTGATTTTAACTGGATGGATCAGAGGGGCACTTAGACTGTTGCTTATTTACCTCATTTATTTATTTATTTAGGTGTCAGCTGTTACAGACCAAGCTGGAATGCAAGATCTTGGAGCAAATGCTGGTGATTTTGATGATGATGAAGGCGGTGGCTTGGTTAGTAATATCGCTTATTTCAGATGGCTTGTGCTTGATAATTCAAAATAACACACCATTCATGAATTATGTTAATGTTTACTGGTTTCGGTGTTTTTTTTCCCTTCTTGTTGCTTTAACTAGAAATTTGTACATTGCCTTGCAAGCCATTGTTGACATCAGCACTACAAAGAATGGGCAGTTTGGAATAGAATGAGATTACTAAAGAGTATCTGTACTGCATAATTTTTTGCTTGACCTAATTGAAGGTACTTGACATGTTTTGATAATCTTAACAGTCATTGAATGCGCGCTCTCGAGCCATGCTCATGCAGAAATTGGACCGTAGTGGAACTGCACCAAGGTTTGTCTTCTCTGAGCACGTTAGTGTATTTTGATTTGTTTTCATTAGTCTTACATTGGCTTTGCTTGCAGTATTGCTGGTCCCTTAGGCACACCTGTTGTCAATAGCGCAGGCGTTTCCTTACCGATGGCACCAATCCTGGGAGCTGCACCGGTGGTTTCTTCTCTTGTTCCTCCCATTGCCTCTATTCCTGGTTTTGCCGGACTTGGTGTTGCAGGGCTTCAAATTCCGACAGCTACTCTTCCTTCTGTAGACACAATTGGTGTTCCAAGCGAATGTTTACTGTTGAAAAATATGTTTGATCCCACAGCTGAGGTTGGTGGTGGATTCCTTTGATAAATATAGATTTTTCTGATTCTTTTTCAAATTTTCTTCTATACCGTTTATTTAACTTCTTGTCTTGGTTTTTGAGCAGTCGGAACCAAACTTTGACTTGGACATTAAAGATGATGTTCAGGATGAGTGTTCGAAATACGGTACTTTGAAGCATATATATGTGGACAAGTAAGATTTATTTGCATTATTTGTATGGCCCTTCCGCTCTATTGTATACATCTAACTCACATTCTTGTCAATAAGCAGGAATACTGCTGGACATGTGTACTTGCGATTTGAAAATACACAAGCTGCTATTAGTGCTCGGCATGTTCTCCATGGAAGGTGGTTTGCTGGAAAGATGATCGAGGCAACATTCATGGTAATTCATATTTTTGGTGACCACATATGTCATTGATTTTGCTTCGTATTCTGTTTTATGAGAATGTCTGTTTATTCGTGCAGTTGCCCCAGACCTACGAGGCTAAATTCCCGGAAAGCAGATAGGATAAGGTAGCAAATGTAGAAAAAGTAGCCGGTGTGTGTATGCCTTGGCGGTAACCTTTAAATTTTGGTCCAATTTTCGTGCGAGCGTTTTAATGAATTGTTATCGCAAGGGCTGTCCGAAAGAAGAAGGGATGTCATTAGGTAACTTGGAAATGTTTACAGCCAGTGTCAGTTTACAGAATACGGGTTTGTAGAACGATTGACGTTCTCATTTGTTGAATTTTCCAGTTTGCGTTTTTGTTTTGGTCTTGGTTAATGGATGCGGTGCTGTAACTAGATTTGTTCAGTAAATTGCCTCATGGCTGAGGTCCTGTATTTGCTAGTAAAGAAGGATTTCAAATATTCTGTCGTTATGAAAGTTTCACACTTGACAAGCTGAAGAAAATTGGACATCGAAATGTAGTTTTTGGGTCAGAGAAATGGGGCTTGTAGGCTTGTAGCTGAAATGGTGTAACTCTGATTTTTGTTCACCTGACTAAAAGAACAAGGGTTCCCGTTTGACACTAGTTTCTGCCAAAACGTAATTAGAGTCGTGGCGAAAATGTCTGCGGATTAGGACTTTTCTGTTCGGCTACTCGTAAATGGCTGCTAATCCCTCAAATTACTACGAAGTATTTGGTAGCGATTATTTAAGACAACTGTGATTAGTGCTCTAAAATTTTTATTACTTTTCATAAGTGTATTTGTCTTTCTAATTATAAAATGTTTGGAGTGTAAAATGAAATTTTTTGAGTGCCAACAACAATTTTCTTATTTTATTAGAGGTTTTATAGTGCCTCCTGTACAGCTTTTGGAAAAGCTAAAAACACTTTACGACAATCAAAAGAACTACTTCACAACGCACTTTCAAATACATTTTCAGAAATGATAATGTTTTGGTGATCAAAATTTTTAAATCAAATGATGTGATTGTTGATGATTTGATTATTACTTAAACATTGATTAACGTGCTTATTTTCTATTGTTGACGCATCATTTGTTTGTAAATTTAGTTTAAATCATGGAACCGGATCCCCTCTAAACCCAAAGGAATTGAGTCCAATGATCAAAATGATTCGGAACATTGAAATTTGATCCAACGGTTACAATTATTATAACTTTTAGGGGCTCCTTGTTTGTAGCAGTTGGATCAGATTTCAATGGCTCGGATCATTTGATCTCAAGGCAAAGTTCATTTGGGTCCACAGAGGGTCCGGTTCCTAAAATCATTACTTTTTAAAAAATGATTCTAATAAAAGCGCTCCTAATAAATCATTACTTTTAAAAAAATAGAACTTTAACGAAAAGCATCAAGTACTGTTCATTTTAACGAAAAACCATATTTTTATACTAAAAAGTCAATCCTGGTACTATTCACTTTACCCTTTATTTTATCCTTATCATTAAAACTCAAAGTTTTCAAGTCCTTTCCATTAGTTTTCCTGATCATTTAATCTGATTTTGCCTCCGCCTCCGCAGGAGTGATATTCTCTTTCGTGTGAGAAAAGCAATCAATAATACAAGAAGGGGAAAGTGAAGCCAAACACTACTATTGACGTCAGCCCTTTCGTCAACTCGATCATGCCTATCAAATACATCCACACATACATCCATCCATCCATCCATCCATCTCATAATTAAATAATTTCATTCTTCTTTTTATTGCACACATATACATACATACACACACACACACACATAAAAAATAGAGAGTAGAAGTGAAAGCAAAAAGCTGAATGGAAATAGTAGTAGGCGTTGTCATTGTGGGAGCTGGACTTTCTGGCCTCGCCACTTCCTTAGGACTTCACAGGTTTCTCTCTCTCTCTCTCTCTCTCTCGCTCGCACACACAAGACAAATGCATGGTATCCGAAAAACAATTTGGGTATGGCTTAATTTGCTCCTCTGTGGACTGTTTGCTTGGCTATGATTTATAAGGAAAATTGAAATTTTTGGTGCACAGGCTGGGCATTAGAAGCTTAGTGCTGGAGTCATCTGATAGTTTGAGGACAACAGGGTTTGCACTCACAACATGGACAAACGCCTGGAAAGCCTTGGATGCCCTTGGTATTGGCGATTCACTTCGCCAACAACATGTCACGCTTGATGGGTAATTGTGTTTTCACAACATTCTTTGACATACAGTTTAACATGTTATGTTTTTCGATTATCGATCAAACATATGCTTGTCTAAACGCATTGTTCACTGTGTATCAACATAAAATATCAATCCGTCTAGCAAGAGAACATTGCTCCTTTTAAAGTTCGACTCTTTATAAGCATTGTTTCGTTTGGCCATGTCCAAAAGTTGATCAACACTTGCCTTTGATAGTCTAGCTAGCTAGCTAGTATTTTTTACAATCTTGCTCAGACGGTAGACAATGACTCCTAGTCAGAATTTTTTAGTACTTGCTGTTTTACATCGAGATATATGCATGAAACTGATTGCAGAGTTTCGAACGCAGGAATGTAACATCCTCGAGAATTACAGGGCTTCAAACGTTTCAGATGTCATTTGATGCCAAAGGAAAACAGTAAGTTTACATATGTAGCTGTTTCCTCTGTAACGGTACTTCATTTCCTTCTGCATTCATTTCAACCCCCAGATGTTGTTCTTTGCTTTGAACCCCAATGGAATATCACGTGTATATTTATTTTATTTGTATTGCTAGTTCCCTACTCGTAACATGCAATTCAAGTATTCCATATGATTGAGATTGTAAATGACACGCAGCGGAGACCATGAAGTTCGTTGCGTGAAAAGGAACTTGTTGTTGGAAGCCCTAGCAAATGAACTCCCAAATGGCACCATCAGGTTCTCGTCCAAGGTGGTTTCCATTGATGAATCAGGCTTATTTAAGCTGGTGCATCTCGCTGATGGCACCGTCCTTAAAGCCAAGGTAGGTAGACTCCTCTCGCCTTTTTATCGCTACTTTTTCCTCTTCGTAAAGACAAACCATGACTAGTTTGCATTGTGCTGACAACCTAACTCTAATTGCATGTGATATCAATGCTTTGATTGAAATGAATATATAGGTCTTGGTAGGGTGTGATGGAGTGAACTCTCTGGTGGCAAAATGGCTTGGCTTCAAGCAGCCTGCCTTTACGGGAAGATCTGCTGTTAGAGGTTATGCCAACTTCAAGAGCAGTCACGGGTTTGATCCTTTGTTTATGCAGTACTTTGGAAATGGTATTAGATCGGGCGCCATCCCCTGCGATGATAAAAATGTTTATTGGTTCATTACTTGGTCTCCCTCCAGCCAAGGTAATTAAGCCTTTTACAAAAATCTTGAGACTTCTTTGCTTCCGTGCTTCCTTTCAATACCTTGAAGGCTCAAAGTTAGAGCGGATTTGTAGGTTTTGCATCGTTCCTACCACATTAATGTAGAGAATGTGCTTCAGAAATTGTTTTCAGCTTTCAATCTCACTACAAATTACGAATAAGACAAACGTGACAATGTTTCATACCATGACTTAGCATCTCAGACAACATTCTCGTTGCAATTCAGAAACTGTATCAATGTGTGTCACATTTTTCGCTAATTCTTCATGTCTTGTAGAGAAAGAGCTAGAAGAGAACCCAGGCCAACTGAAGCAATACATGTTAAGCAAGCTCGGAAAGATACCCGATAAAGTAAAGGCTGTAGTAGAAAACACCGAACTGGATGCTTTTGTATCCGCTCCATTGAGATATAGACATCCTTGGGACATTCTATGGGGAAACATCAGCAAAGGCAATGTTTGCGTTGCAGGAGACGCGCTCCACCCCATGACCCCGGACATTGGCCAAGGCGGGTGCGCTGCATTGGAAGACGGTGTTGTGTTGGCAAGGTGTCTTGGTGAGGCCTTGTTGAAGAGCTCACGGCACGAAACAAAAGATAAGGCGGGTGAAGAAGGAAAGGAAGAATATGAGAGGATTGAGACGGGGTTGAAGAAGTATGCTACTGAGAGGAGATGGAGAAGCTTTGATCTGATCAGCACAGCTTTAGTGGTTGGTTTTTTTCAAGAGAGTGATGGGAAAATCATGAACTTTTTGAGGGACAAATATCTGACTCCAATTCTTGCTGGGTTGCTGTTGAAAAAGTCTGATTTTGATTGTGGGAAGCTCAGCATCTCTTAAAACAATGTAGTTCTTCAGTATATTAATTTTCATTTGACTTCCAAGTAATCTTACTTATATCGCAATTATATTAATAAAAGACCTTTCTTACCCTACTCGTAATTTTGTCACTACTATGAAAAAGAGTTTTATGATGTAGACCAGTGGATGTCCACTCAAAGAATTAAGTAATGGGCAAGTTGCCCTTCTGAGGCTTACTTCACACGACTCCTATTTTCTATATAAATACAAACTCCCCACAACATCAAAAGTAAGAAAGTTCACGGAAGAGGAAGAGAGAGAAAAGAGGAAAATGAGAGGAAATGATAGAGAAAGTTATTTTTGTACTACTATTATTCCAGACTCTCAATGAAAGCACCACTGCTGCCCCGAGGATGTATTCCAGTCACACTGACTATAGAGGAACCTCGTAAATTGTGTCTTGTTTCATTTATTCCACTGCACACATTGTCAATTTTATAACACGTTATCAACACGAGAAGCTCTTATGTCAGTGGAAAGCACAACGCCATAAATCAGGTGAAGCAAAATGGTTTAGCAGAAGCATTTATTAAGCGGATGAAATTGATTACCCGCGCTCTACTTATGAAAACAAAATTGCCAGTTTTTACATGAGTATATGCCATTTTGCATGATGCAGTATTATTTCGGTTGAAATTTGTTACCAACCATCAATACTTCTCAGTATAACTCATGTTTGGGAACCAGCCAAACATTATACATTTACGAGTTTTTGGTTGTGTTATCTATGTGCCTATTGCACTGCCACAACGTACTGAAATGAGGCATTATCGCGGATTGAGCATTGATGTTGAATACCATATATCATTCAATATTTAGAACCCTTGACTAGGGATATGTTTACCGCGTGGTTTGCGGACTATCATTTTGATAAGACAATTTTCTCGCTGTTAGGGGGATAAAATAACATCGTTCCAAAAGAATGATAAGAAAATACCGTTCCAGAAGAACGAAGAGAATTTGTCTTATTTTGATTCACGAAACAATCAATGAGAAAAATGAAGTGAGAATGATTAATGATGCAACGAAAGTGATGAAATCACATATACTTGCTGCAAATGTGCCTACAAGAATTGATGTTCCTGTTGGACAAAAAATAATGATGCAGGAAATGATTTATCTGTTGCACGCCTGAAGCGTGGTAGATTCTTAGACTAAAAACACGAGTCAGTCTTTCGAAAAAAAAAGAAGAATATGACACTACTGAACTATTGCATTTCTGTAGCATAACTGTTACATGCCGGAAGCATGACAATTACTGCATGGATACACATCCTCGAAAGGACAATCCGCGGACATGGGAATGTTGATGTCTCATGCATGAAGCATGATAGACATATAGGTTCCAATGACTCAACTTCCGGAAGTGGAGATTAAAATCCAAGCTCTATAACGCTTAAGAAGAGATTATGATCCGCATTCTCTAAATTATGACTATCCTGGAAGAGATAGTGTAATGCCCTTGAAGAGGCAATGGATATCCAAAAGCTTTTATACATACGCATACACATGAGAATATGAGATCACAGATTGATGATAACCAATTGTAATGTTGGTTTTTACAAGTAGTTACTAAATTCATCAATGAGCTATGTTGATATTAAGGCCCGTTCTTTTCCGTTAACAAAATTTATTGGCCAAAAATGGAAAAAGGCAATTCCTTTACAATTTTGTAAGAACGTGGAAAAATGGACCTATATACTTGAATACAATACAAATAGCCAAAATATGTTGAACCTAGAAAGTTACATATGACCATTTGTAATGCAGTGAAATACACTCACATGATATGACACAAGGTTTCTAATTGAAACCTAAAATTATACTCTTGTAAATGAGTTCATATGAATGAAGAATCATATACGAAGGGTTTTGAATTGCCCACATCATATCTTTATAAGTAAATCCCTCAAGAATACATGGGCAATTGCTCTGTATAAATTCCAAAGGAAAATGTGTTATGAAGTGTAGAAAATCCCTGAAAGATTCATATTGCTTGAAGAAAACCCTGAAAAGGTAAAGCATAAATTATGAACTCAATACCAATGGATGATATAAATTCCCTTAGTGAGTATTATCATTATTATATTGTTAAAATCTCTTGCAAGAAGTCGAAGATATAGAGTCAAGAAAGATTATAATGTGTCAAGAGAAATTTTGTCTCGAACTGCACGAATCTTATCCATGATATTTATGATATTAAAGAATCATATGGATTGAAGATTATAAGTTGAATACTCAAATGATTTAGACACTAAGAATGATCATTTATCTTCGCGAAGGTAAATATAAATTGATATTTGGTCCAGAAGTACCACATCTTAGTGAAGTATACGCTTTATTGTATTTACATAATATATTGAATGAAATAAAACTTATTTATTGATATCTCCGAGAAATTACAGACATGTACATACACATGAGTTAAAACAAATAAAAATGATGGAACCTTCACAAAGGTTGCTCATGTGAAGCCTCAGTACTAGGAAGTACCCCAGAAGGGGGAGACACCAGAGGTTGATTATTTGGAACCTCAGTACTTGGTGAAACTCCAGACGGCTGAGACAATGGGTGCCTTTGGAATAAAGTCTTGAACCTTTGATTGTCACTTTGAGTCCGACTTTCGGATTCCAGCAGCTGGTCGAGCTTTCTTTTCATGCTCGTTGAGTAATTATTTGCAAGCACGTGTAACACTCTATTCTCGTGCTTGAGCCATCTGATCTCTTGTTTAAGACTTACCACCTCAGCCATCAATGATTCAACTTGGCGAGTTCGAACAAGTAGGCGTTGGCCTATATTGGAAACGGAGCTATCACACTGAACACTAAGAGCCAATGAGTCTTGAACGACCAACTCATCAGACCGTTATGAAAGGATTCTGTTATCATTTGGAGTAAGAAGATTCCTAGCTACTACTGTAGCGGTTCTGTTATTCCTCATCACAGAGTCTCCAACTGTAAAAGAGCCATTAGAAGATGAGAAGGACGGGCGCCATATATTATCCTGATGCGGCTCATTTGTATCCATCCTGAGATTCAAATCTAAACAAAGGTTAGATGGGCAAGCCATTTTTAGAAAATGATAAAGGAGAAGAAGGTCAGATAAATTAAAATCTCAAAAATACAGCAGAGACAATTTTCACAGGTGGGAAATCTTCAAAGTGCAATTTGAATACAATCGATACCTCTATAAAAGAAGAGGCAACGTGGTCACCTATTCAAAAATCTAAGAGACACCGCTCTCCGAATTTCAAAAGCTGGATTTCCTTGCATAAAGTCAGTCAACATTTTTCAAATACAATCTCAGTTTTTCAGATATCACGTGCAACTTTGTCAATGATATCTGACAGGGTTGAAAACACGTGAAGTTGTCGACAAGTGTAGGTAACAAGGCCACATCTGCACCACTACCTGTTATTGAGGAAATCCCTATATATGTTGACCTTCATACTCAATGGCAAGACACACATCCAAAACTCCTAACTCTCTCTCATTGCCGAAAATGCATCTGTAACCAAACCTCTTAACGTACTCAGTTTTCTTTCTCTCTAAGAATACCTATTCAAAACAAGTCACACCATAGCAAGAGTATCTCATATCATCAGGGACGAGAGTAAGAGTATCTCATATCATGCAATCTCCCTGTCCTTTCCTTTGTTCTTACTCTTACCTGCAAGATAAGGATAAAGAAAGCAATCAGTTAGAATCTGCAATCAAACTTCAGGTAAGGAACCGATTACTTGGAAACTTTCCTAATTACTTACCTAGTATTACTCTCGAGTAACCATCTTCAACTGTTGATGGAGATGGGTCTCAAGTCACCAACACCGCAGAATAATTGGTCCGCTGTTGGCTCTTTACACTAAAGCTGCCAAGCATGATGACTCGCTGAAAAGTGATGTTTTGAATGACCATTCAAATGCAAAGGTTGCATTCTACTCCTACATCAGGGGACAAATACTGCAAGAGAAGATGTCACACCTGCATGAAGAAAACTAGGGAAAATACCACTTTTGCAAGGGGAACAGATAAGGCAAATGAAAATGATACATCGAAGCTCATGGAGAATCAACAAGCTCAACAAACATGTGCCGATTTATCCCCGACGAAGTCGAAAATCACTTGTCACGTGACGCTCTTCGTGGTCCAATTTCATTCAACATCAAGCCTAGACGACCTTTGAAGAAATCACAAGTCCGATTCAAGATCAAGTGTCCACCACCCTTGAATAAAATTCAGCTCCAAATAAAAAGAGTAAATTTAGACCTTTGGAGGAAGTCTAGTAGAAGGCACTCAAGCCCAATTCAAGAACAAGCTTGTGGAAAGTCAATAAGCACAACATATATGGTACTACTCATAAGGGGGAACATCCAAAAACAAATCAAGATTTTAATGAGTCAATCGAAAACTTGTGGTCATCCAATGAGGAGTGTTGTAGAACAATGGATGTCCACTCTAAGAATTAAATAATGGGCAAGTTGCCCTTCTGAGGCTTGCTTCACACGACTCCTATTTTCTATATAAATACAAACTCCCCACTACATCAAAAGTAAGGAAGTTCATGGAAGAGGAAGATAGAGAAAAGAGGAAGAGGAGAGGAAATAATACAGAGAGTTATTTTTGTACTACTATTATTCCAGACTCTCAATGAAAGCACCATTGTTGCCCCGATGATGTACTCCAGTCACACTAACTGTAGAGGAACCTCGTAAATTTTGTGTCTTGTTTAATTTATTCCACTGCACATACCGTCAATTTTATAACATTTTAATCATTTATATCACAATTATATTATACATTTGTGACCAAGTTTACTTTAATTTTTTTGTTTTCAACATCAACTGAGAAGGAAATTCGAACTTGAGACTTTTTCAACATTAAAAAAAGGCATATCGCAAGACTAAATTTAAACCGATAATATTAATTATCATAGTGCTCAACAGCTAATAAAATAAAGCATTTGGTTTATGACTTCCACCAAAGAAAAGTAATCCCAATATCCCATTATGCCACTAAGTAATCCCAATATCCCATTATGACAAAATTATCCTTCGTAGTTGCCCTATAAACTTTTACCACAATCATATTTTTCATTTATCATAGTCAATTAACAAGCTTAAATTCAAGAAGTGTAGACATATTTAATATATGTATATGAACTTGGGACTTCGAGTGCAAAACAACAAGATGGAGTTTTCTTAATCCTTATCTACAAGGCCCTTGCACAAAATCTAAAGGGGCAATAAGGTTGAAAGTTGGTTGTTGTCACTTGTCCTTAATGTGCCATCCCAATCGTAATCCCATTCGTCATCATCCCACAATGACATATCCAAATTGCGAGAAAAATTTGTGTGGGGCTTTGCTTGCCACTGGATTTTGTTGAGTGGCACTACAATCCAATCAAAACTTACTACGTGGCAAGTCTTAAATATTATCTTTTATCATTCTTTTATATTTAAAATTCTCATAATTATTTTTCCTACTAATTAATATACATCATGAGATTAATTTGATGTATATTTTTTCTTCTCCCCCTCCCCTCTTTTTCTTCCCAAATTTTCCCTCTGGTACGTTTATGTTTTGCCGTAGGAGTCTTCAGTTTCTTCTCTCTCTCACTTCTACCATCATGTTAAAGATGGATAATCAACCAAAATAGTTGTACTTCAACCAAAATAAAGTGAAGGATAGCCAATAAATTGTGAAAATATCAACTCGATCGTATGGAGTGAGTCTGCAAGATTGTATTTAGAGTTTGCTACAAAATATTCTAATCCTTTATAGGAGAAACATAAATACGCAAATTACAACTCAGAGATATATAAAACAGGATGGGCTGTTGGGCAATGAACTTGTGCTTATAATTGAACAAAGTTAATAAACAGCTTTTGTAATAAATAAATAAAAGGTATAGGTTTGGATTTTCCTTTTTTTTTTTCCTTTTCATTTCATGATAGTTGGAGAAGATGACTTTGTTTTTGCCCCATATTCTTATGAAGAAAGGAAATAAAAAGGGGGGGAAGAAGACTGCACATTGCAGAGAAAAATGGGGAAGAAAAATAAGAGAGAATGAGAAGAGGAAAAAAAAATGAAAAAAGGAACAGACAAATTTTGTTAAACATCACGTCTGTGTTAGAATATATATATATATTTATTTCATTATAGATGGAGAAGATAGTTTAATTTTTTTTTTCCCATCATTCTTATGAAGGAAGGAAAGGCACAGAGTGGGGAAGATGCTGGTAGAGAGAAAATTTGGGAAGAAAAAGAGGAGACTGAGGAGATCAGACGAAAAATGAAATCTTAAATTTATGGTGTATATCAATTAAAGGATGTGATATCCACACACCCCATTTTACTTCTCACACACCTTTTTAATTTTCGGCCGTCAGATCGGATGAATTGAAGAAGATCAATGGACAGAAATTAGCAAGGGGTGTGTGAGAAATAAAATGGGGTGTGTGGATAGCACACCCCATCAATTAATAGGAAATATAATTATGAGAGATTAAAGAAAAATAATAAAAGATAATATTTAAGACTTACCATGTGGCGAGTTTTGATTGGATTGTAGTGCTACTCAGCAAAATCCAATAGCAAGCAAAGCCCACACAAGTTTTTCTCCCAAATTGCCGCCATGCTACATAAATTTTAGCGTTAAAATGTTGCATAAATTCTAATATTAAAATTTTTATGAATATTGGATGATTTGGATTGGATTATCATTTTTAGAGTAATGTTAGGTATATCAATTTTTAGACCAAATTGGTAAATCATGTGATGTATCACCAAATGAAATAAATACATTAATCAACACGCAAGTCATAATTCAATCTTCAATAATCACGTCATACGGTTTACACAATTTGATCTAAATAGTTAGTCTTCTTAAAGTATCTCCAAATGAGATGTCAAAACTACCACATAGATACAACAGTAACAAATGGTAGCAAACTCTTTTCAACCAAACCTTTAGTTTCCTACATGGCAAGGCCTTCTGCTATCAAATTATCAAATTCATTTAATATTTTTTTAATAATTGTGAAGCAGTATATAATAAATATAATTTGTATTCCAAGAATTTGATTGGTTATCTTAATAATTAGACCCCACAAAGGGATAAAAAAAAATTATAGAATGACGTTATTATTAATATATCTGGTAGAGCAAAAAAAATACAAAATATCAAACTGCCATATAGGCCATCAAACTTCATTTTTTATGTTTTAAATTTGACATCTTCTTAGAAGATGCTCTTAACATTACACTTATTTTTATTGTATCTCACGAGTCTATATCATTCAATACTCATAATAATTAATGCTACATTGCATGAAAGTGAAACCCGAAATTACGACACTGACCCCTAAAACTCAACTCTAATCTCATTTTTGCGTCTGAATCTAAAAATGTTTCGCTCCCCACCCCCCTAAATGTAATTTTGCGTCTCACTGTGCCTCATTCTTAAGTACAAAAAAAAAAAAAAAAAAAAAAAAAAAAAAACCTTAAACTATCTGACATTTAGCCTTAGTCACTTCCACGTACACAAAGTTAATTAAAAAAATAATTTAAGATTTCTTTATTTTCTATCTTGCTCTCTTCGAAAGCGAAAGTAGAGTTTCAGACACCATCAATCTCTCTACTTTCCCATGGAATCGTGAAATCCCACCTTCCGTTTATTTTGTACTGTAATCCAACGTATGGAATAACCATCCAACAGAGCAACTCCGAAACGGCGTCAATAATATCATCACTCATGGAAGTAGTAGAAGAAAGTGTTGTGATTGTTGGAGCTGGAATTGCTGGTCTTTCTGCAGCCTTGGGGCTTCACAGGTTCTCTCTCTCTCTCTCTCTCTCTCTCTCTCTCTTCAAGTTTTCAGATTGATCTGGATAATAATATGTTTTAATTTTTTTACTACTACGTACCAAAACTTGTTAATATGATTAATTGCAAATATGTTCACTTAGACTGTAAGCAATAAGCAAAATTAATTTTGTTTTTGCTGCAGGCTGGGGATTCGGAGCTTAGTTTTAGAATCGTCGGATAGTATGAGGATGACCGGGTTTGCTTTAACAACATGGACAAATGCATGGAAGGCCTTGGATGCCCTTGGCACTGGTGATACTCTTCGCCAACAACATGGGGCACTTCGTGGGTAATTATATTCCGACTCTACCTCATCTCTTTCTTATAACTACTTGTTGTGGACAATTTTGATATGTTATGTTGTCCAACGGTCAATCAATCTAAACCCTCATGAACGCCTGTTTTGGTGCGTGACTTGACACCTTGAGATCACACATACATATACAAGAGAACGCAGTCTCCGGCCTTATATTCGATCCATCTCCTTTTGAACTATTTTGTTCATGTGCGAATTAATTTCGATATATAGTACCAAAAATGAATAAGTGACATAAATTATATACCCTTTTGTTTGATGAATAAGTAAAATAATTTCAGCAGGCAGTGTAGAAATGATTCCGTGTGATGCTTTTTTTCGCACGGAACTGAACGGTGCTGTGAATGCAGGAATGTGACTTCCTCAACAATTTCTGGGCTTCCTGTGTTTGAGATGTCATTTAAGGCCAAGGGAAAGAAGTAAGTTTTCCAAATATTTGCTTAATCCCCTCAATAGCTTACATTCCTCCAGTTGCTGCATCTCCTTTTTTCGCATGCTTTTCAGCCCCCCAATATCGTTCTCCAGCTTCTTAATGCAAGCATGCTCAGATATAATTGAGATTTTACCATGACGTGCAGCGGAGATCATGAAGTTCGTCGCGTGAAAAGGAGATTGCTTTTGGAAGCCCTTGCAGATGAACTCCCTAGTGGCACCATTAGGTTTTCATCCAAGGTGGTTTCCATTGACGAATCAGGCTACTTGAAGCTGGTGCATTTTGCTGATGGAACCATCCTCAAGGCCAAGGTATTGTTGAGAGCATATCCCACATAGGGAATGTAGAGCCTTGCCTTACTGTGTTTCCTCTTCATCGCTATCAATTAGTTTTAGGTTCCACGCTCTAGTTTTTTGAACTCTATGTATAAGTATCTTTTGATCTAACTGCTTATACATCAATGCCGTGATTGAATAGGTCTTAGTTGGGTGTGATGGAGTGAACTCCGTGGTTGCTAAATGGCTAGGGTTCAAGCAGCCGGCGTTACAGGGAGATCTGCCATCCGAGGCCTTGCCAACTTCAAGAGCAGCCATGGTTTTGATCCCATATTTATGAAGTTCTTTGGAAATGGTATTAGATATGGTGTAATCCCTTGTGATGATAAAACTGTTCATTGGTACTACACTTGGGCTCCTACCAGCCAAGGTAAGCATCTCACACCAATTTTCAGACTTTTTTGCTTACTTCCTTTTATTTAAGCCAAAAGTTTTGGCTCTCAATCATCCTTGAAAGTAAGTATTTTTGTTCTCAATTCAAACTGTATTTTCTGCTACCATGTAGAGCGAATGTGTTCCCTTTCTGCACCTGAGTTCAAATTTTCTCCCCGTTGTTTAGACTATTTTAAAGAATAATATCACTTGTTAAGAAAAAATGTCAAATGTGTGTCACATTCTCGTTGCAATTCAGAAACTATCAATGTGTGTGTCACGTTTTTTTTGCTAATTCTTCATGTCTTGTAGAGAAAGAGCTAGAAGAGAACCCAGGTCAACTGAAGCAATACATGTTAAGCAAGCTCGGAAAGATACCCGATAAAGTAAAGGCTGTAGTAGAAAACACCGAACTGGATTCTTTTGTATCCTCTCCATTGAGATATAGACATCCTTGGGAGATTCTATGGGGAAACATCAGCAAAGGCAATGTTTGCGTTGCAGGAGACGCGCTCCACCCCATGACCCCGGACATTGGCCAAGGCGGGTGCGCTGCATTGGAAGACGGTGTTGTGTTGGCAAGGTGTCTCGGTGCGGCCTTGTTGAAGAGCTCACGGCACGAAACAAAAGATAAGGCGGGTGAAGAAGGAAAGGAAGAATATGAGAGGATTGAGACGGGGTTGAAGAAGTATGCTACTGAGAGGAGATGGAGAAGCTTTGATCTGATCAGCACAGCTTTAGTGGTTGGTTTTTTTCAAGAGAGTGATGGGAAAATCATGAACTTTTTGAGGGACAAATATCTGGCTCCAATTCTTGCTGGGTTGCTGTTGAAGAAGTCTGATTTTGATTGTGGGAAGCTCAGCATCTCTTAAAACAATGTAGTTCTTCTGTATATTAATTTTCATTTGACTTCCAAGTAATCTTGCTTATATTGCAATTATATTAGTAAAAGACCTTTCTTACCCTACTTGTAATTTTGTCACTAGTATGAAAAAGAGTTTTAATCATATTATATCACAATTATATTAGACATTTGTGACTAAGTTTAGTTTAATTTTTCGTTTTCAACTTCAACCGCAAAGAAAATTCGAACTTGAGACTTTTTCAACATTAAGAAGAGGAATACCGCCGGACTGAGTTTAAACCGAGAATATTAATTATCCTAGTGCTCAACTGCTAATAACATAAAGCATTTTGTGGAATTATTGCAATTTGATTGCCGCCTATCTCCTCCAAATTGTAATGCCACTATGGCTTATGGCTTCCACCAAAGAAAAGTAAGAGTAAATTGTAGCAATGGTCCCTCAACTTTAATCAAATTGAAGCAATGGTCTCTTAACTAAAAATTCATTACCATTGGTCCATCAACTTATCAAAATGTGTAGTTATAAGTTTTTTCATCAATTTCGTCAAAATAATAACCATTTATATAATTAGGGTCTCTCAACTCATCAAAGTGTGTAATTATGGTCATTTTCGTCAACTACGTCAATTTTTTTGTCAAAACGAGTTATGTTGGAATGACCATTGCTACAATTGGGTTAAAGTTAAGGGATCATTTCTCCAATTGAATTAAAGTTGGGGACCAATGATAATGGATTTTTAGTTGAGGGATCATTGCTCCAATTGAGGGACCATTGCTCTAATTGAGTTAAAGTTAAGGGATCATAGCTACAATTTATTCGAAAAGTAATCCCAATCATCATATGACACCCATTAATATTGATAAAAATTATCCACTTCATATTGTTGCCCATATAAACCTTAAATTCCAACGTAAATATTCATATTTATTAGATCCCATCCAACCTTTGCATAACACAGCAAGATTTTACAAATTTCTAAATGAATAATTCATAGAGCTTAGAATATTCAGATCCATGTGTATATGATACTGCCAACTCGGAATTTCGAGGGCAAAACAGCAAGATGGAGTTTTCTTAATCATTATCTACAAGCCCCTTGCACAAAATCTAAAAGGGCAATAAGGTTGGTTGTTGTCAGTGTCACTTGTCCTTAGTATGTCATCCCAATTGTAATCCCATTCGTCATCATCCCACAATGACATATCCAATTGCCGCCATAAATTACGGGAAAATTCTTCCATGCTACATAAATTTTAGCGTTAAAAATGTTGTGTTAATCAAACTCCCAAAGCATTTCGTCCGCCTCGTCTTTTTAAATTTAAGGCAGGCCATGCCCCAGTAGAGAATTCCACAACATCCACATTAGGAATTCTAATATTAAATTTTATGAATATTGGATGATTTGGATTGGATTTGATTATTATTTTCAGAGGAATGTTAGGCAAATCAATTTTTAGACCAAATTTGAAAATCATGATCACCACATGAAATAAATACATTAATCGACACTTAGGTCATAATTCAATCTTGAATAATCATGTCATATGGTTTACACAATTTGATCTAAATAGTTAGTCTTCTTAAAGCATCTCCAAATAAGATGTCAAAATTGTCACATAGATACAACAGTAAAAAATGACAGCAAACTTTTTTCAATCGAAACTTCAGTTTCCTACGTGGCGCTTAGTCATTTAAAGGCAAGGCCTTCAGGTGTCGAATTCATTTAATAATTTTTTAATAATTGTGAAGCAATATATAATAAATGTAATTTGTATTCCAAGAATTTGATTGACTATCTCAATAATTAGACCCCACAAAAGGATAAAAAAAAATTATAGAATGACATACTATTTAATATATCGAGTGTAGCAAAAAATTATACAAAATGTCAAACTGCCATATAGGCCATCAAATTTCATTTTGATGTTTTAAATTTGACATCTTATTTGGAGATGCTCTTAGCATTACGCTTATTTTGATTGTATTTCGTGAATCCATATCATTCAATACTCACAGTAATTAATGTTACGTTGCATGAAAGTGGAATCCTAAATTATGATATTGACCCCTAAAACTCAACTCTAATCTCACTTTGCATCTAAATCTCAAATGTCTCGCTTAACCCCCTAAATGTCAATTTTGCGTCTCATTGTTCCTCATTCTTACGTAAAAAAATAAAAATAAAAAAATCACGTTAAACTATCTGATATGGCAAAGCGGAGCACCTGTGTTAGCCTTGTCACTTCCACGTACACAAAGTTAATTAAAAATAGGGTTAATCTCAGTTTATTACCCTGAAGTTTCTTGGCTTTCAACATTTAATACATGAAGTTTTTTTCATCCCAGAGTGGTACATAAAGTCATAGTTTTGAGAAACTTTCATACATCTGTTAAGTTTGCTGTTAAACCAGCCGTTAACTAGTGACGTGGCGCTCACATGGACAATGACTAGGCATCACGTGTCATAGGGGCCCACATAAATATTAAAAAATTAAAATAAAAAAAAAGTTTCTGGGTTGTCCCCTACCTCAACCCCTAACCCCTTCCCTCATTTCTCTCATCTGCACACCCTTTTGCACACTCACCCTCAATTCCCTCTCCTAAACCCTCAACACCATTAATCTCCATTTTCTCTCTCAAACCCTCCTTTTTCTCCTCCATTTCACAACCTCTTTCACTCCCTCAGACAACTACCTCATCAACTGCAACTCACCCTTCAACTCCTCCATCTTCAACCGGGCCTTTTTGGCGGACCCATACAGATCCATGCCGGGCTCCATTTCGATCGCTGACCAAAATCTACCTCCCAATTAGACCCACCTCTACCGCACGGCCAAAACCCAACATCCCTTCCCTTTTCTCCCGCTTGGACGCCGTCACTAAGCTTGCCTTTAAATGTGACCACAGATCCGCGATCGTTGGCAACGAGGAAAGGTGGGTCCGGCTGATTGGACATTCACGACGGTGATTTGACAAGGTGAAGGCTCAATTGCGATGACATTTTTCTGCGATTTGCGCTCGATGAAAACTTGGGCTGCGACATTCTGGGGCTGAAGATGGAGGACAAGGTGGAAGTGGGGTGGGATTGGAGAAAGGGGTGAGAATCTGCTTGTGGAGACAGAGATGGATGACTGCGATTGGCTACGCACCAACCTCATCCCATGCCGCTGAAGCTCTGCCTGAAAATTGGGTTATGTAATTTTTTGGGGTTTGAAAAAAAAAGCAAGAAAAAGGGACAAAATAGAAGGAGAAAAAGAAGAATGAAAGAAAGAAAATATGGGAGATGGAATTGAGGGTTTGGGAGAGGGAATTGAGGGTGGGTGTGCAGAAAGGGTGTGCAGAGGAGAGAAGGGAGGGAGGGGGTCGAGGGTTAAGGTAGAGGACAACCCATAAACCTTTTTTTTTTTTTTTGAAATTTTTATTTTTTTTAATTTTTTAATATTTATGTGACCCCCTATGACATGTGGCTCTTAGCCACTGTCCACGTAAGCGCCACGTCATCAGTTAATGACTGATTTAACAGTAAACTTAATAGATGTATGAAAGTGTTCCAAAATTATGACTTTATGTACCACTCTGAGATGAAAAACACTTCATGTATTAAATGTTGAAAACCAAGAAACTTCAGGATAGTAAACTGAGATTAATCCTACAAAATAATTTAAGATTTCTTTATTTTCTATCTGGTTCTCTTAAAAAACACACAGATGTTTGCAAAAGTTGAGTTTCAGACACCATCAATCTCTCTACTTCCCTTTGGAATCGTCAAATCCCACCTTCCGTTGATCTTGTACTGTAATCCAACTTATTGAATAACCATCCAACATAGCGAGAGCTAGAAGAAAGCCTAGCTCAACTGAAGCAATATATTCTGAGCAACCTTGGAAAGGCACATGAGAAAGTAAGAGAAGTAATAGAAAGCATTAACTTGGATGCTTTTATATCATCTCCACTAAGATATAGGCATCCTTGGGAGATTCTTTGAGGAAACATTAGCAAAGGCAATGTTTGTGTTTCCGGGGACGTTCTCCACCTTATGACACCAGACATAGGCCAAGGCGGTTGCTCTGCGTTAGAAGACGGCGTTGTGTTAGCAAGGTGTCTTGGAGAGGCCTTGTTGAAACACTCAAGGTAAGAAATAAAAGATGGAGGTGAAGGAGTGGAGGAATATTATAAGGATGTGTTTGTTGCACCGGGTTATCTTGGACTGGATTAAATTCAAGGACTAAGCTGGATTAACTTAGTAAAACGTTTGGTGCAGTGTTGGACTAAGAAGTATGATAGAAAATTTTCAACATGCAATTCACAAATCTGACATCAAATTAGCACAAACGACTCAAATTGGGTCCAAACAAGAACTCTTTCTTCTTCTTCTTTGCTGGAAATTACAAGCAGGAACTCTTTCTTCTTCTTCGTTGGAAATTACAAGCAGCAACAGCCAATTGCAATTTTCTTCCCACAATCCCAAACAAATTTCCTACATAATCTGCTTCTTCTTGTGAGAAAATCGCAATTTTCTCTCTAATCTAATCCCCAAATTCAAGTTAACTCTTGATGCTTGACCAGAAAATTTTAAAACTTGACAAGAAATGCATATCCAAATTTTCTATTTTCCTAATGAAAATTTGGGATAAATTGCGAATTAGATTTAAGAAATTGAAAATTGGAGACAAAGATGGATGAACCCAGCCGTCGAAAATCAAGGTCGAGGTCGATGCCATCGAAAATTGGAGACAGAGATGGATGAACCTAGTCGTAAAAAATCGAGGTCGAGGTCGATGCAGTAAAAAATTTGAGACAGAGATAGATGAACCCATCCGTAAAATTTTTTCCATCTTCTAAGTTCTAGCTTTCATTGAAGCCCATGCCGTCGAAAATCAAGGTTGATGAACCCAAGGCAGCGAAGCAGACAAAGGTGATAAAGGATGTAGCAAGAGTGGACGAAGGCAAGAGAGGATGATGGAAGGTCTTAGATAGTCCCGTGGGTTTTAGGGTCTCTCGCTAAGACCGGCTAGTGAAGCCGTTTGTGAAAGTGAGTCCCACCTAGTGCCATTAGTGTTAGTCTCGCAAGCCACCAAACACAAGACTACATTAATACTTAATCCAATCCAATCCAGTAAAGGCTAAGAAGGGCAAACAAACGCCCTCTAAGAGGATTGAGATG